GAGAGTGAAGATGCTCGCTTTAGCGTTCAAAAAAAACCAAACCTTTTTGGCTGTACAGTAAGTGGCGTCTCTCTGACATTCCACTAATTTGTCAACACTAAACAATAGAGAGAGAATAAAATGAAAGGATGAGTGGAGCTGTCGGTCACACTTTTCATTAAAGGTTCTCATCCCACCAGCAGACATTTCTGTCGCTATGATAGTTTGTAAATTAGTGTACAAGGGGAGGCGAGACAAGGAGAAGAAAGCCTCCTCGGAGCCTCCCTGCTGTGCATTCAATGTTTGATACGACACAGCTGGAGTTAATCGGGCCCACGTGCAACTGTCCAGTTGCCTGCTTGTCTCTTCGTTCTCCTCACTTTGATTTCTGTTTGGACAGAAAAGCCCGGCAACATCACTTCTTGTTGTATCTTTACAAGCTCAGAGTTGGATATCCGTGTTAAACCCCGATATGCTTCCGAAGGCATTTGCATCTTGAAAATCAATCTCACGAAATCTCTCACAGGGCTGCATGTGCTGCACCTTTCAAAAGGATCCGCAAGTGCTGCTGTTAAGAAAATAAATCAGCCTCGTGATGAAAGCAAAGGGGGAATTAAAATGAGCTAATAGACGTTATTAGCCATTCATCAGCTGCGATTGTGTTCAAACTTTCCCCTGGAGGCGCAGTGATCCTTCCAAACAGGAAAAGTCTTTGAAACAGGTAGCGCGGCGTCTTCCTGAATACCAATTAGCTCAGGGCTCGGCTTTCTGAGGCTCATCCATGTGAATCATTTGACAACAGAGTCGCAGTTTTCCACGCCTGGCTAATTCTGCACAATGCTTCTAAGGGAGGTAGACAAAGAGCACCGTGGGGGGAGAATGTCGCGAGTATTGACAAAGGTTACACAGAGAGGAGAGCATTTCGCTATCATACACGCCATTCATCATCATTTTTATGCCACGCGGTCACAAAAGAGGCTTCTGTGGGTGTGTGTCTGGCTCAGCGCTGATGTGTGTAAAGCAAATGCATTCATGTTGGACTTGTGAGTGTGTGCCTTTGTACATAGAGACTGTCCTCTCCAGAGAACCAGAGCAGTGGTCATGCAATTTTAATGACGAGACTCTCGGAGTTTAAAAAAAACATTTTATGGAAATGTAAAGAGGATGTACTTTGTATTTTAGTGAAAGTACTATTTGTATAATGAGATACAGTAGTAGAATCACAGCTTTTTGTATTTAAATCTGTAACGTAACACAAAATCAGCAGCGTTGGTGCCATTCCTTTGTATATATTTTGAAGTGTGTAATGTGGACGAATTATTTTATCTCAAGAAACAAACAATGAATCGAAGCCCTCCTGCTGTGTCCTTGTCCTACTTATGGAAGTGCCAAATCAAATAAACACTGATGGGAATGTAGCGTCTATCTACGTGCGTGGACTTGTGTACATAAAACATGTTGCTGGCTTAATATGTGCTCCCGAATAACAAAATTCAAACCAACCAATTCTAACCAACAGATAAGGTCGGTTAATATTCCATTCCAGTGGCCAGTAGCTGTTGTGTGCACTGGGATGCAGTTTGGAGCAAGATGGAGACCACATGTAAGATTGGGACCAATCTTACAGGTGCCACATTTTTGGGTACACGACTCTCAACTAAAGAGAAAACGAAAGGATTAGTTGTTTCTGCGAATGCCCCAAAGCGACGACAAAGTGCCAAAGCCTTCAGGTGGTAGTAGGAGCTAAGACTCTCGTCGAGTAGAGGAGGAAGCATTGACTTTGTTGTAGGGCAACAGAGTCAGCGGAGGGCGGTCAGGATGTTCTAATTGGTCAACAAAACGTAAGCTAGCTCGCCTGATCTCCTGCAGCAGGTCCTTCTAGAGCCGCGGGGCCCTGAAGCCAAAGGTTAGAGGGATAATTGCGAACAGCTTGAGCCTTATTAGAGAACTTGACATTTATCAACTGAACGCTCAATAAAACGTGGGGGAGTGTTTGTGGTGTGGCTGATAATATCAAGGAGGCATCTGTCATGTTTATGTTAAGCTATAAGATCCAATAAAGAGTTAGTATGTGAAATGTTAACTTCCAAGTTACATTTTTTTCAGACAGCCTTCAGCCTTTCAAGAAGAATGTACAGTTTTGCAGCCTTCCATATTTGCGCTCTGCTTTACAGGAACTTCTCTTTATTAAACAGATTTCATCGTTAAGCCAGGGCAGAGTTGGCATTGTAGGTTTTTTAAGCCTAACGGGAGCAATGTCTAAATATTTTAGACAGTGTTCTCAGTCAGACAGACATGTAGTCACATATCCTGGTCCTGAAAAACATGAGGTATTAAAATAAACAAGTTGCTGCTGAAACCCAAATTTCTCTGCATAGCACGGTATTCAGTAAACAACCAGGAGATAAAAACAGGAAGCGGTCCTCGCTGTGCGTAGCTTCAGTCGGAGCCCGAACATGATTAAAAGAATATAACATCCGCAAAAACTCTGAAGCCAGGGGATTCTCAGGGCCGCATACATTCACTTTAATCGCTTTGAATCAGAATATTATCATATTCACGCATAACAACAGAACGTTTAGTCAATTCTTCGAGAACATCTGCAGTGGATGGCCTATATTAAAATACAAGGCACTTTTGCTGACCTTTTGGAAACAAAAGGCAACATTTTAAAAGAATAGAACAAACCAAGACTATTTATAGAATTACTAAACCACCACTGAATGTCCTGTTATTCTGGGTTCATTTAGAAAAGTGCAACCTGGCGTGGAGCATTCACAACAGGAACATTGTCACCATCAGACAGACAAGTTTCTGTTAGCAGCAAAAAAAAGTCAATATCGTAAGAAGCAATGACATCATTGAGAAGGTTTGTTAGCTGGTGACCTGACATTAAGCGAAGCCGAGCTAACGTGCTCTAATTGCTTATTAGCCGTGTTGCAGTGTGGCTGCAGTGAACAAGGGGGAGGTGACCTCTATTAACAGTGAGGTAGGTGAGTGTGTGGCCAGCTATTGAGAATCACAACGTTGTAAGTGTACAATGACAGCGCGGGCAGTGTGCTGACGGTCAGTAGGAATGTTTTCAACAATATCCAAAGTTAGGCTACCAGGAGAACAGAAGATAATTCCCCCTCTGTAATTCCATATACTGAATCCCCAATAAGGAGGAACTCGGTGTCTCTGCAGTCGCTCCTTAACACGGCAGGATTAGAGGGTGCACCGCTGGCTAGGACTCACAGTCCCGCTATCAAATCCTCGAGTGTTTGAAGGCTCTCACGCAGACATTTGAAGCCATTTATGAACACTTTCGATAAATCCACATTTCTGCAGATTTTGCCTGAGGGAATTACCCACAATTCATAGCGTTCTGACGTTAAAGATGGGGTTATCCGGGGGGGAAGCCCAGAGGCGTTAAAAAAATAAAGAAAAGGTAAACAAAGAAGACGGCACATGAGCGTTCAGCCCGGCTTATTAAACTCACTATGAAGCATTAAGGATTTAAGATGGTACATAAACACAATAAATCACAGCGATGCGAGCAGCGATTTTATTCCACACCTGCTTTATTTATCAACCGTTTCTTTTTATTTGGTTATTGCAGCTGTTTTGACAAAAAATAATTTCAATAGATTATTTTAATTACCTCTCATCTCGTAAAGCGTGAGCCGGGAATATGTTCAAATCACTTCAAGACCTTTCGGCCTCTCGCACTCCCCGAGTCCTCCCGAGTCCTCCCGAGTCCCTGAGGGTTCAGGGTTTCAGGCTTTAAGGGGGACATTGGGATTGGGCCTACGGCTCCGCCTTGACAACAGTATCCCCAGGAGGACTCACTCCAGCCAGGTGATGATGAAAGGAGGGAAAGTCCGAGGGTAATCTGGTGGACGGGTGGGAAAAAGGCAACGGTTTGATTTTGGGAACTACAGTGGAAACAGAAAGACAAACAAAGTGACACCAGCTGGAGACCGTTTACCCACATTGCTACATCTGATAATCTTGTACCTTTTCGCATCGTGACTTTATGCATGAAAATAATTGTGTGCATAGGTAGTTTCACACTGCAATAGCATTTCAAAGGCTGACACAGATAATTAGCAGGCCTCAACAACAACTCTGCCATCTCCTCCTCTCAACCAATGCTACATTTATAATTGTTTGGTTCTTCTTTTAACTCATTTAATCTATGCTGTGTGTATTTGTGGATAATATATCATTATGATAATTCTACTTTCTCTTATTTCTTTGATCACAAGAGAATAATTCCAGACAAAGAAGGCAGAGACGTTGAGCATGTGAGAGGACATGCTGGTAGGATAATGACGGCTTTCAAGGTCCATTTGGAGCACCAATCTTTGTTCCTCATATCAAATATAAAAAGGCAATTCTCCGCGTTAACGAGCTCAAACACTCTTCCTAAGAGTTTCAATGATTAATTTGCTGCCAGATCGTCAGACATCCATAATGAATGCCATCCGCAGTGAATTATTTACACAGTCGTCCTTCGTGGCATAACTTACAGACTGACACGGAGCCACTCGGTGTGTCTGAACGGCTTTTTGTATTTGCCGGTGTAGATTTAATACTGACATTTGTCTCCATAATAAGCTGACAACTCAGACGTAGTAGTGGCATCCTGTCTGAAGACCCACAGTTACTTCAGTCAGTTAGCATGCACTACCAGCTCCTCCATCAGCACGAGGCAGGGACATAAACGGTGGTTATTATCAGAAGAAATAAGAACAACGACTTGTATTTTATATGTCAGTTGTGAAATAGTACACAAAACCACCTCTGCACATTCAAAGTTCATGTTACATCATAGGTTAGAAATGTCTCTTTGTGAAATGCTGGCAGTCCGATGGAAGATCACAATGTTGGCCAACTCTGTAAACTTTGCACCAACACACTCAGTCAATAAACTCGTGTATCTCCTCTTACCTCTGTTTATACAGTCCAACCACTGCTCTGGCTCCCTGTATAAAATGCTTCTTTGTTCGGGGTCAACTCACCGGCTCACATCTGCTCTGTGTCTGTGAGGTCACCAGTATACCGGTAGGCTTCATTAAACTCACAACACCGCAGCAACTTCTGAACTGGACTTGAATCATTTCTTCAACAGAACGCAGTGGCCATGGCACTACGGGGAACATTTACTTTGCTTTGCTCACTAGCAGGTAATCCCACGGTTTCATGTGTTCGTCTGAAATGTGTTGATCGCAGAGTACATCTAGACTGAATTTACAATGTGTGTGTGTAACTGTGTGTATGTGTGTGTGTGTTTGCAGTCTTGTCCTCCGCTGGAGCTGAAAATGAAACTTCACTTCAGAATTGCACCTCGCAAATGCAGCTCTTGAAGCGACTATCAGCAGATCTCAAGGTAAACTATTACTGCACATACATGCACATAAAAGTGGGTCACACTGTGTGGATATTTCTTATTTGCTAATTGCTTTCCACATCATACCACATTGTCGGAGGTGTTTCTGTCTGATTTTAACCAACAGGGGGCGGTAGAGTGTGGTGAAAAGCTGCCGTCTGCATGGAGTCCACACGAGACGGCTGCTCTGCTGCAGTCCATCAGGATTATGACCGACACGCTGCACAGACACCAGCTGCAAGGTAGGAGGACGAGCCTGAGACACGCGTGTCCGTGTTGTTTTTCTCTGGGTGACCAGTTGAAAAAGATTAGTCTAATGTGAGAATTCATTTAAGATTGAGGACAGGGTTGGGAAATGCTACACTTTATCCTGACTTATATGTTCTTACTTTTGTATTCTGTTTTGTGTTATATAATCTGTTAATATCCAGCTACTTCTGATGGGTGTGTTGGGCCATACCATGAGCTATTTCACCCCTCGGTCACAATAACGTGTTGAGCAAGAAGTACTAAAGAAGGCAGATTGCTGGTGGAGATTCATCGGCTTTACTAAGTTTATCACATTTGTAAAGGCACTTGAAGTCTAACACTGAATTAGGTGAACTTTGCCTGGCAAATAGAAGGATTACCATCTCCTGAGGATGCCCTCGTCACCGATTAATTAAATGTCGAGGTGTAAACTCCGCAGATGGATAATAATTGATGTGGAGTTTCACGTAAGCCTTAAAATTGACTTAATAACAAACCCGCTCCATGTGCAGTCAGCTTCCACCAGAGAGTCAGTGCAGTGTGTAGGGTTTAGGCCTCAAGGAGGAATTAAAAAAAGGCTTCAGATGACAATAGAAACACCATATAAGCTCATAATGGACATGTAACACGTTCAATGTTTTAAATGCCTCATTCATTAAAAAATCATTGACTTCTAGAATGCCAAGGTGCTGAGCCAACGAAGTGCCCTGAAGCCGAAGTTCCCCACGGTGGAGGGTTGGTGTGTGTCACAATAGCCAACAAGCGATACTGCAAACCTCTGTGCAGCCATGTAAGTGCTACATGCAGTTTTATATATTAATAAAAACATGTGGGGACAAGTGCCAGCACTATGGATAGATCTGCCCGAAAAAATGGATAATATAATTTGAGTCTTCTTTTACAGGGTTATGATTTTGCTTTTATCAGGAGGAGTCGTTTGTATGATGAATGCAGTGAGCAGACCGGCTATAAATGGCAGACCCAGTACGTAGGAGGAAACAAGCTGGCTGTGTGCAATGGTAAGGCTGTGTGTTATTCAGGCTCCAACCAACTGAGTTGTTTCCTGTGAAGACGGAAGTTTATTTTGGAAAGACTGCATGCATGTAACGAGCAGAAATTGACACGTGGTGCTGGCTTCCGTAAAAAAAAACGCACAAAAAAACGAGGACTAACTTTTCGTTAGATATCATACAAACCATATATGGATGGGACCATTGAGGATTTATTAAAGGACAGTATGCAGGCTTTGGCGGCATCTAGTTATGTGGTTGCACGGTTTTGCACTAATTTGCACTGTTTGCACAGTTTCACAAGTATGCAAGAACTACGGTGGCCTTCAGGTGACGTAAAAAGGCCCTCACTAGAGCCAGTGCTTGTTTGTCCGTTCTGGGCTACCGTAGAAACATGGCAGACTCCGTGAAGAGGACCCGCTGTCTATATGAAGGGCTCATTCTAAGCAAAGGAAAACACACAACGGCTCTTAGTTTCAAAGGATTATACACGAATGAAAACATAGTTATGAATGTCATATTCCATTTCTGCCAATAAGTACCCCAACATGCAGCACACAGGCATTTAATAACATTTTGCTGACTGGTGAGTTCAAAGCAGGAACGAAGTTACAGAGATCCAGCCCTCCCTAAATGTACTTTTGATTCTGTGAGTGCAGTTATGTTTTATTACTTTTTCATGTCTTAAACCGTCCATACAAGGAAACTCGCATTATGCATTCATACGCATGGACACTGAAGTTGACCTTAACTTGCTTTCTTCTCGATTTCTAGAAGCACCAATTCAAATTTCTGGAGCCAAGACAGCATATTTCCCTAAAGATCAGGACTGCCTCACAACAAAGAGCAGCAGCCAACTGCAGAGCGGCATCATGGTAGAGTTCACCACTGAGCTGAAGGCTGAAGGTGTACAGGGAGAGCCACAGTCTGCCTGTCTTGTGTGTGGATGACCACCTGAGGTGGAGAGATGCATTTACAAAGTCACGAATGTTGTGTGGAAGTCCCTCTGAGTTGCACTGAGGGAAAAAAAAGCTTTGCAAGTAGTTAAAAACTGTATGAAAGACTTAAGTTTGAAGAATAAAAGTGTTGCTGATCCTGAATGATTCTCTGACTGCTGATACAGCCACTGTGGTTTCAGGTCTGTGAGGTCCTCACACACCAGAACTCTAAACTGCTGTCTGTTATTCCTGGGTGTTTACTAAAGTACATGGTATATGTGAGCTTCCACGCTCTTCCTCCTAACTGTGCCTTAACATCAATCCTCGTCACTTTTTTTTTTTATCAGCCGCAATGTATTTTGGGTCGTTTTTAGTCCAGTAAGCTCACGTCTCATACGAAGACATTTTTGCTCTTCTATTATACTTCCGGGCATTTCTCGCCTCCACAAAATCCCCACTTTGCAGTCGGAACGCACTGCATGTTCCATTCCCCCTCATACTGAGCATGAACAGTCTTTTATTATGCCTCTGTCCCTTCTGTCCATTTGTAGGACGTCGAACGAAGAAAGTGTGTAATTTAGAAAACAAGACCCACGCTTTTGATTTCTCCTGTAATGACCGACTTCAACTGGAAACTACTTTGTAAAGTTAAAGGAACACAAATCTTTAGTTTCATGAATACACTTCAGCTGACAGTAAGTAAATTAGGTATGGATTTTTGACGGGGAATTAGGAGAATCCACTATCACTTGAGCAGCCAGTCGACTACAAAGAGGCGTTATTCAAGCAGGAACACTTTGGATTAAAGGTGACGTCTGTCTGCAGATAAACGGCTGCATCGCAGCGTTCACAGTAACAAACGGATGGACACGCCTGCGAGTGTCTGATTACCCCTCCTCCACTGTTTTCCGTCCGACTTCATTTAAATAATAATAGTAACTCGTTATTTATGTGCTGAGCAGCAGTTAGAATGAGGTTAACCACTCCGCCAAATGGAGTGCTTTGTCTGCTGTTGTGTACATCTGCACCTCCGTCCAGACGCAGCTCACCGAGGTCACGGGTAAAAAGTCAAAACGAGATTGCAGGATCTCATTAGGTGGCCATTGACATTCCACATCATTCTATTAGGACTCATCAGGGAGAAAATGACCCACAAAATGACCCTCTGGTGTAGGCCGACAGACCGTGTAATCATCAATTACTGAAATAACTGTCTGCGGATTGAGGGATGAACAGTGGTAAACTGTAATGTCACACACCTCCCATTAAGTGGCAAACAGACAAAAACACAATTCATTTTCCTCTAATGTAACTGACTCACATTTCAGCAGAACAAGCGGCTTATGGTTATGACTGTATGCGCTGGAACCTTCACATCAGTCATTCCCAGAGACTGGGTCGCAGCCCTCAGAGGCTTTTATTAGCAAATAAATGAACATGTATAACTGCAGTACACCTCTGGGCCACATGAGGGAGCCAGAAGGTTTGTGTTCTGAATATTTCAGCTTTCTTATGATGTATCTAATATGAAAGGCTTGTGTACATTCTATTTGTTTTACTGAAATTAGAAAAAATGAATGAGAAGGCCACTTAAATGCATTTATTTGGTCTCATTTATGAAGTATTTTACATGTAAATATGTTTTCAACAGCATGTGCATTCAAAACTTTGACAAACATATATCTCTTTGAAATGGCTGGTTTACAGAAATGGCAGAAATTGTTTAAGGAATCTCCAGAAAGAACGTTTGTGAAAGACTGCTCTACATCTTCACAGCGTCTGAATCACAACAACAACAGCTGTTTGCTTTGCTTTGGAGCAATGAAGGAACATTTTAAGTTCCAACAAGTTTGTAGCAAAAGTTTGGGGAAGACCCTCTCCTGTTTAAACATGACTAGAACTATAACATGAGGAAATACAGGCCAGTGAACACATCCAACAGACCTGATCACCAGGTCTGGAGCTGGACCTCAGTACAGCTCTCATGGCTCAATGAGAGCAAAGAACTGCAGCCAGGTCCCAACATCTGGAGCAGAGCTTTAATGGATCGGCTTGTACAGAATATTAACAGCCATGTTTGAACATATGGGTGTTCACTATTGGCCATCTTCATTTTATTTCCTCCAGGACGATTGGCCACTGCAACAGTGGAGAAATAGCTTTATTTCATTGCATTTTTCTTTGAATTAAAAGTTCAATGTCAACGATTGAATTCAAATGAACCAGAAATAAATGATGTTCTGCATTCAGCTACCATATTGAAACAAATTCATTTTACATCTCTGTTTAAATTCAGCATGTAAGATTCTGTCGATGTGACTCTTTGTACACTAGAGGGCGGTATACAATCACGTTCTGAAAGCCTCGCGTATTAGCCAGCAATGAAACACACCGATTGTGTCCACAGTGCAGCTGTACGTTGTTAGTCTCGTGCACATAAATCAAATGCAACATGCAACATTTCTCACTAAAACAAACTAGTCGAAACAGACCTGCACATCCTATTTTGGGCTTGAGAATGAAAGAAACCAAAGACTTTCATTTGTAATAATAATAATTAATATTGTATCTTTTGTTCTGGCTCTTCCACCGGCTACATTACATACCTGTCAGTGTCAACAGCAGCATTTACAAAGACAGCTTTTGGTCTGGCTGAATGGAATTTGCTCTTTTCATGTAACTTTTAAAGTAAATATTAAATAGCACACGGTTGAATTATCTGGCTCTGTTTGTTCCTTCCCGTCTCCTCGTATTCATGTTGGTTTTGTAAGAGAAGAGACAATCAGTGAACCACTACAACCTGTATTCCCGTGTCATCATCGAGCCAAACCTAATGCTGCTCACTTCCCTGGCTGCTGTCCAGCTTCTGCTGAGAGAACGAAGAAGAAGCAGAAATGAATGAAAGCCTACAAAGAACGAGGATGAACATGAATGGTAACATTGTGACAATGAATAACGATGTGTCACACCACAGAATGTTTGTGAAAGGTATTATTTTGATAATAATCCCATCTGATTGATTCTGGTGGGACATGAACAACATGTGTCCTGCTTTAAACTGGTTTCATTCGCTGAATAGAAGCCTCGTTCACCACACAACAACTCACCGACTTCAGGAAGTGTATCTCTGAGCTGAGCGCCTCTCGCAGGAGCTCAAGCTCTCCTTCTTTATGCTTCTCCAGCTCCGCCCTCAGCCTGGTAAACAAAAAAAGGATCTGAATATCAAGTTTTAACACATATTTTGTCTTTGTATCACTCTACTTTAACGAGGTGTTACCTCACTATTGGCTTTAATCACTCAGTAAAAAATAACAGAACTACATGAACTACATGAAACTGAAACCGATTTTTCACTTTAGTATCTTAGAAATAACCAGCTCAAGATAAAAGCTTTGTTCTAAACAGCTTTCTCCAAAGGTTTCGATGCATTCAGATGTACAGTACGCAACAGAAAATCACGAGTTCCAGTATGTTTACAAGCACGAAAACAACGTCAGTACCGGAAATACTCTCGCAGGCAGAATGTACAAGTTGAGTGAATAGTCTCCTGGACTGTGGACGGACCTTCCTGAGGAGATCAAGGCTGCAAACTCTGTCTCATCGTTCAAATCAGAGTTAAAAACAAACTCTTTACAGTCGTTTTTCTCTCACTATATTTGTGTTTTAGGACATTTTGTTAGTTTTCTGTGTTTTCTCTTGGCTTTCAGTTTATTTCATTCTTTGTGTTTTAAATGTGTTTTTATTATAAAGCACTGTGTAACAGTGTTTTAAAAGGTGCTATATAAATCAACTTTATTGTTATTATTAATAATATTCAGAATGATTTGTCGTTAGCAAACAGGAAGTAGGGACACTTGAACATGTTGCTGAGTAGGAAGTAAGCAGAAATACAAACTTCCCGGCAACAACACAGAAGACAATGCTCTCCCTTTGTCACAGACTAAAACAACCCATCTGTCCTCAAAGTCAATATTTCACTCTAGTTTCATGAACATGAATGATATTGTATCACTCGGTTCAGTCTGCTTGTGGAAAAAGCCCTTCTTGGGTCCGTGGTACCTGCTGCTGGCAGGTGTTGGGAGGATCTATACTGAGCCACACATGAGCCTGAGACACGCTGCCTCCATCTTTCTTTTATTGGAAGTTAATGAAACAATAAAACAGCTGAGCTGAAATTGCCCTCCCAGTGTGAGAACAGCAGTGTTTTAAACTGTACTCTTCTCTGTGGAACTTACAAATCGGATCTTTAAGGCGAGCACACTTTTCAGATGCTATGATGATTTTTACAACAGCGAGACACTTTGTTTTTGGGATATCGGGGGTTTAATATCAGATTTCTGCAGTGCAGTGTGTAATATAGCAGTAATATATCGCATCAAAAAATACATACAACTCCTGAATCATAACTCCGGAGCACATTGAGTGAATATCTCAGGTATTATAGTTCCATTCTATTACGTGACAGTGAACGATGGACACCAGCAGCCGCCCTGTTTTGCACACTGAACACTTTTTAAATGACTGTAGCACTCATTCAAATTGACATGCATTCAATTTCCAACAATCAATAAGCGCAAGAGTTAAATATGGGTTTTAAAGAGACGTTGCTGCGGTGGCTGAAGACAGGATTGATGGCTTCAGTTCAGAATGGATGATCATAGGAATGAGTGAGAGGAGGCCTCTCTCCTCCAAAGCCACATCCTCAGCACTTCCATGAGGCTAATAAGCCCGGGGGGTAATGAAGGCCCGAGTATCTTTAATGAGGCTGATGGATGAACAGGACATGCTACCCACATGCATGATTTAAGGCAGTGCTGGGAGAAGGAGGGGCGCTCAGAGAAGGACAGAGAACAATAAATAACATTTTGTGCCTCGTCAGGGTGTCTCTAATTAAATACTGGGAGAAAAATGTGTTACAATAACTGAATACATATTCAAATTTTAAAAAACCAAAAGTGTAAACCTCATCATCTCGATAGGTTTGGGGATTTGTTAATCACTTCACATCCATAGTATCGTGGAGGAGACATTATCCAAAGTAGTGGCATCAGCAATAACAATGGCCCTTCCTTCCTGGAACTCTATTGATCTCTGCTCTTTCATTAAATGAAGGAAGTCTCTTCGTGGAGAAACACGGTGGGCGGCGCTCACCTACCGGTCCT